AATATATATATATATATATATATATATATATATATATATATATATATATATATATATATATATATATATATATATATATATATGTATATATATATATATATATATATATATATATATATATATATATATATATATATATATATATATATATATATATATGTATGTATTATATATATATATATATATATATATATATATATATATATATATATATATATATATATATATATATATATATATGTATGTATATATATATATATATATATATATATATATATATATATATATATATATATAAAGGACCTAAAATTTTTAATATCGTAATTCCAAAGAAAACAGTTGAAAGCCCTTAAAAAAAGATGCCTACTAATGAAGCCACAAGATTCAAAAATATACTAGGGTTAAGTGGTTCTCAAACAGAAATTACTTGTAGTGTAGTTTAGGAGCTGGAAAGGAAGAAAGTTTTTTGAACCCAATCTAAAGGAAAAAATTGTATTTCAAGACTGTGTCTTAGATCGTTTCTTTAATATTGGAGAACTTCAAATCAATAAGCAAACAAAATATTTAGTCTACTGTACAAATGTGTCTGAGCTAATAAATCAACAAGTGGAAAAAAGAGATCATCAGATTATATTGTAAAGATTGAAATAGATGGGGGAGGATTTCTAAAGGTTTGTTTAAATATTCTTGATTGTAAAGTGAATGAACCTAAAACCAAGTTCTTATACAGAGAAGGAATAAAGCAGGAAAAGTTTAAGAAAGGAGAAGTTAAGAAACTTATTATTCTAGCCATTGTAGAAGATGTTAAAGAGAATCACCAAAACATTAAGCAAATCATAAAAATATTGGGAATTGCGACTAAGAAGTATTTTTTAGCATTTGACTTAAAGCTTGAAAATATTTATTTCAGAATTGAAACTGTTTCTTCTACTCGCCCCTGAAGTTGGTGTGAACTGTCAAAGCAAGACATTCAGGATTTCACAACCTGTAGCCGCAAAAGGTAATTAGGAATTAGTATTGCATTATAAATTATTTTAGTCAAAACATTATTCTGGATATTTTTTTAATTTGGGATTTTAATCTACTTTTTTTCAACAACACTCGGTATGATTAGAAATAATGCAAAGAAGTGCAAAAAAGCTTGTGAGAATCACAGAAAAAAAAGTAAACTCTCGGCTACAACATTTAAGAATTGTGTCCAAACTCTTTTGATAGACCTACCAGATGATACATCTGTTGCAGAAATCCTTCCTCCAATGGAGTTTCATTTATTTTCTGGAAACACAACCGTTTGTATAAGATAGGAGATAAAATACTTTAAAAAACAACATTAATTTCCATGAATAAATTAATGTGGAATAAATTAATTGGATTTATTAGGCCAAGATTGCACAGCGACTAGTTCAAGGGAGGACAGTGTTCAAAGCTATTGGATAACATTGAAATATTAGACAATATTCTCAAATCCAATTTTGAAGTTGTACCAGATGAATTAATAAATCTTATGAGTGCAATGAAAGCACTAAATAATGTGAAGAAAACTTGCTTTGGTCTAAGTTTGGACATGTCTTACAAGAATCACATCAGTTCCTACAAGGAAGCATATATGGCATTGAACGAAAAAGTATCATCAAAAGTACATGCTTTAGTCATCCATGTACTAGCTTTTTGGAATCAATAGCTGAAAAATATCCTGGAAAAGGTCTTGGCTTTTAGTCAGAACAGGCTTCTGAATCTGTTCATTATAACTTCAAACAGTTTTATGAGCAAGGATACAAAGTTCCAAGATGTCACAAATTGTACCTATCAAAACTGCTGAGATCTGTTATTGTTTATAATAGTAGACAAACACATTTCAAGATTTAATTTTAAGAGAGACTTTTATGTTTTTAGAAGACTTATACATACTTTTAATCTTATATTTGTAATTCATATATATTTAAATATCAAAGTTTTAATATGGTTCCATTTGTCATAGGAAATAATTAAATAGCTTTAAACATATAACATAATTAATATTAAACATTAATATAATATATATTAAACATTAATATAATATAATTATAATATTAAACATTAATATTAAACATTAATATAAACATAATATTAAACATTAATATAATATAATTAATATATAACATTAATAGCTTTAAACATTAAATATTAAATAGCTTTAAACTTATAACATAATTATTCCATCATTTTTATAAAGATAATAAGACTAATACATCAGTATTGTTTTTTGAAACATTAGGGAATAAAGTTATTTGAAAATGTTTGCACAATAAGTTAGTAGCCATAATTAATATGAGAACATATAAATTATTAACAAATAAAAGCTCTGTCTATTATGAATATTTCAAAGCTTTTAAAATATGCAATAGTCATCGAACAATTCATGATCGAATAAATTACTTAATGGATATTCAAGGAAAAATACTGGCTTTTTTGGTTTACAATAATGTCTTTTTTTTTTTCTTGGACCTCGAAATTTTTTTTATTGGTGTTATTTTCTGAAAGTAGAGATCAGTACGGAACAGTATTTCGAAAACAGAGGGAGTTAATATTAAAATATTTTAACAGTACAAAATATCTTTCTGTAATTTAAATTCAAAAAACTTGTGTTTTTATTGTTTAAAAGTTTGAGTTTATTAAATTGAAAAAAATTACAAATTAATTTTTTTTTTGGCTTATAATGAAGTAGTATTGTTTTAATTTTTTAAAAGAGACAAAAAATTTGATTTTTTAAAAGTGACTAAAAATTTATTTTTTTAATAATAAGTTTTGTTAATAACAAATTATATTCTATTCCACAAATTAGTTCTAATTTTAATTACATTATATTTTACAAATTAATTCTAGTTGTCAGGTTGGTATTTTTTACTTAATGTTATTTTTTTTTGAGCTAAGTTAAAGTGCTCATATTCCCAAGTATATAAAATCAAATATGACTACTTTAACTACTTTTTTAAAACCTCTGTGTTTTTAAGAAAAAATTTCAAGTTCCCAAATATCAAAGTGGATCAGGAGTAGTGATCATCAGTGTAGGAGTAGTGATCATTAGTGTAGGAGTAGTGATCATTAGTGTAGGAGTAGTGATCATCAGTGTAGAAGTAGTGATCATTAGTGTAGGAGTAGTGATCATTAGTGTAGGAGTAGTGATCATTAGTGTAGGAGTAGTGATCATTAGTGTAGGAGTAGTGATCATTAGTGTAGGAGTAGTGATCATTAGTGTAGGAATAGTAAGCATTTAACGAGGAAGTTCATGCCTCCTTCCTTACCGAAGACGCAAAATATGTCTAGATCTCGCTTCTTACCACTGCGCAACGGCTACTTACATATATTAATGTAGTTTAAAAGATATCATTTTAAAATGACAAGTATAAAACATTTTTTTTGTTTTATTATTATGCAACTGTAATATTAATATAAATTGTTATCAGCTCAGCGCCAATCAATCCGAACAATAAATTTTCAGCTCTATAATAAAGAAACTTCAAGCTTCATCAAAACACTTAATAAAACTCACTTCAAAACTCCTTTAATAAAAATTTATCTTCCTCTATTACAACCTTCTTCACTGAAACTCGATTTATACATTCACATATAACTAGAAACATCAATAATGGAAAACTAAATGTACCTTCTTATAAAACTTTCAGATATGGTAAGTATTCAATTACACATCAGTGCATCAGTGAATGGAATTGAAGTCTTGTGTGCATTGTAAATGAGTTTTAAAAATTAAAAAATTTATCTTCATTTCTTTATTTAAAACAAAATAAATTTAAACAAATTCTAAATTATATTAATTATAATCATTATTATTATAATTGCAATAAATACTATTGTTTTTGTTATTTAGGGTAAAATAGTATATAACTTAAATAAAAAACTTTTATAAAAACCTCATCTTTCACAATCTATAACTTTGATACAATATACAATTATTTCATTGCTTTACAAAAAAATTTTTGTTTATACAGAACATCTTTAGGGATTTGCTCAGTCGGTTTGCTTCAAATTGTTTTAAATAAAATTAAAAACCGTCCTTAATTTAGACGGGTATAATCACAAAAATTTCCAAAAAAACGTGTTTAATTTTACTCTAAGTTTTAATATCTAAGTAAAAGTAAGCAAAAGTAAACATTAAAAAATTTAATTTTGGTAAATCTATTTTTTCTATGAGGAATATGCTATTGTTTAATAATTCTAGAACCAAAAAATTTGAGATTTCACAGGTTCGGAAATTTACACTAAAATTAGGACTCCTTAATATACTGCAATTATAATTTACTAGCAGTAAGCAACCCGTAATACGGGTTGTAAGTAAATAAAATTAACCGCGTATAGAAAAGTCTAGAAACTACTTTAAAATAGAAAAGCCTAGAAAATGACGTAAGTCAACTATTACTAGTAGTAATATTAATACGCTAATTTAATAGTAGTAATTTACTACTATTAAATTAGCGTATTAATATTATCAGATTAATTTATTTAACCAGAGGCAGTTTTAGAGGGAATATGGTCGGGTATTTAATACAATTTTTGTTGGGTTAATTTTAGTTTTGGGGACCTTCTTTTTTTTAAAACAATTGGATACTTTCTAAGGTATTTCCCCCTTTCCCTCTCATTTTATTCGTAGAATCACCTCTGTATATACCATATAAAACATATAAAAATATAGGCATACTACATCTTAAAAAAGTTTTTAAAGATAGTTTGTAGTCCTTATCTTGCAGACCAGATATTTTACGGAGGTATTTTGATTGTTTAAACTAATAACCGACTGACGGCGATTTCTTAAAAAGTATTATAACTACATTGAGTGGATATATATTTTTTTTAGTTTTGAGATAAACGGGGCTGGGGTTTGTGGGTCTTAATAAGTTTGGAGTGGGTAAGAAAATACCCTGAAAATTAATAAATGTCACTTCCTGTGAATAAGACATGCGAGAGTGAATTACAAGGTCTAGACTTTAAAAAAAACAACAGAGACATAATTTTTGTCTTAAAAGCGACGTTTTTAGATCACTGTGCGGTGTACACAAATTTTTTATTTGTTGTTAAATTGTTTATAAACATTTAAACTATTTGAACAACATATTTTACAAATTCATTTCCTAGCGTTAAACAACAGACAAGTTTTGATGCTTGAGATTCATTTCAGTAAACAAACTTGTATAATAATGTATAAAGTTTGAAATAAAAAATCTTGGAGTGTCCAGTATATGTTGGAGAGATGCAGCATTTGGTTAAATTTTTTAACAAACAATATCTTCACAAATTTGTAACTTGAAAGTTTATCAAGTACCCAAAGACAAAAAGTTCGAAAAAATTAAAAAAAGATTTATAAAAATTAAACGCAATAGCAATAAGGGCGAAGATGAGGAAAATCATTCAATATACAATGAGATTGATTTCCATATAGATTTATTCGACTAATATTTGGATCAACTACTATAGTATTGTCTGTTAAAACATCTGCATTGGCTTCAAATGCTCCGTTACTAGGATAAACTGTGAAAATAACTTCGTAGTATTGCTTTTGTGCAATAGAGGTATCGTAAACAACGCCACATGAATCACAATCTTTGTTTCTATTTGTTTTTATAAATTGTGTGACCTCATTTTTGGGGGTTTTTAAACCTGCAGATAAAATGGTTTGTACCGTTAAATTTGAACAAAGAGTTTGAGCTTTTTCATTTTTATGTATTAAACCGTTGATAAAGTTAACAACTGCCTGTGTAACATTAATTACCATTAATTCTGCTACTGAAAGAGTTTTATAATTTAAACATGGACACCAATGGTCTTCAACACCAGAATTTTTGCAAGTTCTTACACCAGGATCAATTTCAGTAAATAAGCTCTGACCAATAAAAGTTTTATTTGGTAGATCTGGATAACTGAGCATATGTTGAAGCGATGCATAAATGTCAAAGTGACTTGTTAATATATTTGAATTTTTCTTTAGAGCTGCAAAAATTTTTGGATACTTTATCTTAAAGTCAGGAGGTAAAGTAATCGACAAAAAAGGCAGTCTTTCCTCTAGCTTTCCTTGTACTGTTGAGCGAATTTCACCAACGCGTGCACCATGATCTCCAAATATTATAAGGATTGTATGATCAATTCTAATTGGGTTTTTGAAATAATTTATTATTTCAAGTATGTCATCATCAATTACCTGTAATGCATTAATATCATTGTGTCCAATCGCTGAGTTTATTACCAGAGACACTTTTGGAAAATCTTCAAAAACCTCAGTGAACGTTTTAAGAAGAATATTGTTGTATTCAACGTCACATTTAGCAGAGGGATTCTGAGCTAACCAAAATGGTCGAAGATACCAAGATGTTGGCAAATTATTAAAACCGTGTAGACGATAGTGAAAGGTATTCCACTGTGGATCATCTTCACTAAACATTGTGAGATAACCAGCTTTGTGAAGGTCCTTAAATATAAAGTTAAATTGGTCACAGGTGCCAGAATTAGGCATACTGCGTCTAGACTCAGGAAGATTTTTTTCATGTTCACCTGTAATGATAAAAAGTTTAAACTTTTATAATTTAAAAATAATAAGACAATACTTAAACATAAAAACTCCTAAAATACTTGTAACAAATTATAAATATTATATATAATTTATTTAGTAATATTGAATAATAACAAAGAGATCATTTTGATTAAGTGTTTGCAACAAAACAAAACTGCAAAAGTTTGTTCTTCTTTTAATTACAACAGTGTATACGATATATATATACGTATATATATATATATATATATATATATCGTATATATATATATATATATATATATATATGTCCGTATATATATATATATATATATTATATATCTGTATATATATATATATATATATATATATATATATATATATATATATATATATATATATATATATATATATATATATATATATATATATATATATATATACATACAGATATATATATATATATATATATATATATATATATATATATATATATATATATATATTACATACAGATATATATATATATATATATATATATATATATATATATATATATATATATATATATATATATATATATATATATATATTTATATATATATATATATATACATATATATATATATATATATATATATATATATATATATATATATATATATATATATATATATATATATATATATATATATATATATATATAGATATATATATATATATATATATATATAAATAGTGGAGTGGTAATGCTTTCTTTTGTTAGTTAAACAATAACTAACAAAAGAAACGCATGGTTTGGTTTTTTAATCTTTGGGCTCGTTATTGTCAAGCCAGAACGCGGCACACAGTTTTTTTATTTAACAATTCTCGCGTACCTTTGTATGATATTATGCAAAGTTTTTCATTAAGGGAAAGTAAGTATTTTTTTGTTACGTTGCTGTAGGCGGGGACTTGTTTAATTATTGACCAGGTTAATTTGGGTGTTATTTTTAAGTTTTCTTTTATTTGCCATTTATACTTTGAAAGGGTGGTTGAATTTTTCAACTTTTTGTTTGTGAATGAATGTTTGTGGTTAGCCTATTTTTTTTCCATTTACCTTCTGCTATGGCAATATATAATTTTTCTGAAGTGTTAATGGGGGGGGGGGGGGATACCAGGCTTGGTCGGGTAGCGGGAGCGATCCCTCTCGTATACTGACCACGGAAATTATATTTAGTTGCGAAAAACTGGCCAGTTTTTTCAGTCGTTTTGAGAACATTTAAGTTTGTTTCACGGATATACATGGAAACATAGCAAACTTGAATGTTCTTAAAATATCTTGGTGCGTGATAATAAAAAGAATATTCGCGAATACTAATAACCCGCCAAATTAACGAACAAACTAATTCTATTGGTTTCAAAAATACGCTGACTAAGCGAAATAAAGTTCTTGAAATGTTTAAGCACGTTTTGAGCTTTCTAGCATAAATTGTTTTAAGAATATATTATCAATATTGCGGCTCATTCTCGGAGCCACATCTGCAAAGCCGTAAATCTTACAAACTATTATTATTTGTTTACAAAAATAAATATTTTAAATATATAATATTTGAATTGTCAACATTTTGAAAATTTATTATAAATTATAGATTTTATTAGTATATTCTTAATAAGTATGTATTTTTTTTTTGTAAATATAATTTTGTGTATCTGTTTTTTATCGTAATATAATCTTTTAAAGCAAATTTTATGTAAACAAAGACTTTAAAAAATAATTGCGTTTTCAATGAAGTTATTAATAATCATTAAAGTTAATAAAACTAATTTTGTAACAAACATCTAAGAAGTTTTTGGTTGTTAAACACAAACAATGCATACAAAGTAACAAGCACCGTGCATGACGTCACGACAGAACACAAATATATATAGCAAGTTATTAGATATAAAGAAAAGTTTCTAGTTATTGGTTTACTAACTGTAATTTTTTCGTTTAAGTTGCCATTCTTAAAAAATCGTTATACTTTTTTCTGCTTTAAATACTAATTAAAATTAAAAAGCCCACTCACTAAACATCATCAGCGATATTGTGAAGCAGTTTTGCTTCCTCGTCATAAAGTATTTTTAACCTTTTTAGTTGATTTCTATCTAGTTAATTTAACTTCTATAGTAATTTAATAATTTATTTATTTCATTTGTTTATCTTACTAAGAAGAATTGTTTCAAATATGTTAAACTTTTCAAACTACGCAAAACATAAAATAGGTATTAAAAAATTTAACTTTTTTAATTATTTAAAAATAATTTAGCTTAGACAAAACTAAAACTTGCAAACTTTGTTAAATAAAGAACATTTGTTTCCTTTTTAAACAATCGTAAGATGTTACTTTATATAAAAAATGTCGCGTAATTTTATAAAAAATTTATACAAGAGCGATGATTATCGAAAATATTTGTTCTAAACCTAATTTATTTTGCTTTAAGTTTTTTTGCGTTAAAATAAATTTTATGAACTGATTTTCTTGTTGTGGCTTTTTATTATTCTTTAGATATTTTTGGTGCAGTTGTAACTCACTTTGATGGTGTTTCGATTGAATAGTTTACTTAGGGGGCGGGATTTGAAAAATGTTTGTCAATTAAGTATAGGAAGATATGTCCGACATTGGTAGAAACGCTTTTACTATACGGTGGGTTGAACCATATTATAATTCTTTTTTTTTATATTTTTTTCTCTTTTTTTGGGTTTATACTTTAAATTAAAACCAGTGAAGCCATTTCTTCTTAATTCATCTTCGTATTCTGGTATAGATAAATTAAAAGTTTTTTCATTTGAGGAATTTTGTGATAAAGATGTAGTCTGTCGTTGATAAAGATGGGGATTTGCTTTATTATTTGCGGAGGACGGGTGGAATCAGTGTGAATGCAACGTAGATATTCATTTGGTTTGTTGAAAGATTGGTAGGAGTTTTTTTTCTAAGTTAAAGGATGCATCTAAGAAGTTGATTGTGGGTAGGTTTGTTTGGATCTCTATTTTAAAATCAGGCCATCGTCACGATATAGTCCAACGTCTTCTTTATTTATTATTTTAGATAGTGAGTCTAATATATATAGGCCTACCAGTTCACAAACTTCTGCACCGTCAAAACAACCCATTGTGATATCAAAGCAGTTGTGTGCTAAGTTTTTCTAACATATTTTGTTGTTAAAAAATAACAAGGACTTCTGCAATCTTTAATGACTCTGATGTTCTTTTCGCTATTACTTGTGTGTTGTTTTGCAAACAATATTGCATTACTTAGTATTTTTGATGTAATAGTGGGGTAAAAATCGATAATGTCAAGTTGAATAAAAACGCAATGTTGTTTTTCTGGTATATTTTCAAACCATTTGATTGCATCAGTGGTATTATTCCATTGGTTTAAATTTAATACAGTTCTTATTTTTTATTTATAGTGTCAAGGTATTTTTTGTTTATGTGACCAAGTTTACTTTGGCGGGGTTCAATAAACAGCAGGATTTATTGTTTTGGAATGATTCTTTGTGGTCTTTTAGTTGCTTAAGATGAGTGTTTTTGCTATATTTTGGCTTCGTTTTAGTGTGTGATATAAATGTAAGGCTTTATATATATATATATATATATATATATATATATATATATATATATATATATATATATATATATATATATATATATATATATATATATATATATATATATATATATATATATATATATATATATATATGTATATATATATATATATATATATATATATATATATATATATATATATATATGTATATATATATATATATATACTCATATAGTGTCGCTTTAAGAGCATTTTAATGTAAAAAAAGTCTCTTACGACTACAATTTTAATTACCTCGTCTCTTAAGCTGTTTTTGATTGTCATCGAAATGTCAAAGCAATTAATTTTTGCGGAAGTACATTAAATTTAATTGTTTTTTAAAAAATTTTTAAAAAACCGCAATTATAACGACTAGAAAGTTTTTTTTAATTAGTGGTGTTTTTGTTATTGATTTAATAAAAAACATTTTTTAAACATGCGTAAATGTTGCTACATCGACTATCTTATAGCCTGACTCGCAACAGAGTGCTGCTACATCGACTGACAAATAGCCTGACTCGCAACGGAGTGCTGCTACATCGACTGACAAATAGCCTGACTCGCAACGGAGTGCTGCTACATCGACTGACAAATAGCCTGACTCGCAAGGGAATGCTGCTACATCGACTGACAAATAGCCTGACTCGCAAGGGAGTGCTGCTACAACGACTGACAAATAGCCTGACTCGCAAGAGAGTGCTGCTACATCGACTGAGGGTTTGGTTTGGCCAGGCAGTCTATCAATTAAAAAAAAAATTTAATTTTTAAAACTTTTTCTAGTCTGGTTTATTAACGCGCTCTTTAAAACTACAGTTTATGGGAAATATTTTTTGATGCTACGCAAGAGACATGCAAGACTATATATATATATATATATATATATATGTATATATATATATATATATATATATATATATATATATATATATATATATATATATATATATATATATATAAATATATATATATATATATATATATATATATATATATATATATATATATATATATATATATATATATATATATGTATATATATATATATATATATATATATATATATATATATATATATATATGCATACATACATATATAAGGCTGCCAAGAGTGGGGTAATTCAAGTAATTTCCCCCGGCATTATGTGTATGGGAAATCACATATTCTTAATAATAAAACAAATTACAAATAGCTGATAAATTAAAAAAACCTAATTTGTAAACATTAGTGAAATTGTTAATTTATTGTAAAACTATTTACGAATAGAAAACTTGATAACTTGATAATTACCAAATTTTTGTGTAAAAATTTTATTCACGTTTCAAACTTTGTTTAGATTTAAAATAAGAAGACAAATAAAATATTAATACATTAGAAATTTTTATTTACGTTTTTATTTAAACGCACGTGTTTTTATTAGCCATTTGTTTGCATAAATATACTACGCCTTTAAGATTGAACCAGTTGTCGGGAATTTCTGGGTGGAAAGCTACAAAGGTTTGGGAAGAAAAATAAACAAAAAATTTTAGATAGCGTTCGTTGAACAAAAAATTAAATTTTATTTTAAAATCTTGTAATTTCAATAAAAGCTAAATTAAATAATTCTATTAAATAATATTTCTTTATAGCACGATGACATAGAGATCAATATAAATAGTTTCAAAGAGTCGCCAGATATCTCGGAGTCTTCAAGACATTGAAAACTTTCAAAAAAATCAGTTAGATTTTTAAGTTGTCACAGTAACCAACAAATATATTAAAGTTATCTTGATATACGAACCAGACCAACTTCTAAAAATCCTGCTCATGGAAATTAATTTTACAATGCTTTTTTGATGTGAGAGTATATCTAGCTTCAAGAAGGTTAACTTCTAGGGGTGAAAATATTACTTTTGAAATGTAAATTATACTTCGTATTTGTTTTTTGTAACTTAGAAAAGAAAATCATAAGCTATAACTGGATATTGTTTGTAAATTATAAGTTTAAACTGGACTACTTATTTTATTATTTGCTTGTTTGTTTGTAAGTAGAGTTCAATCAAAAGCTGTTCAAAAACTGGAATGAAAACCTCCTTGGTGCACTTAAATTATTTGCTTACCGCAAGAAAACACAACAAGATCATTTTCATCTAACTGCTAATCATCAAGAAAAACAAAAATGCGTGCTAGCTCTTACTTACCCTGGAAATTAAAGAATGAATTTATCGAGGAGTGTTTTGAACTACCTATATATATGTATATATATATATATATATATATATATATATATATATATATATATATATATATATATATATATATATATATATATATATATATATATATATACATATACATATATATATATATATATATATATATATATATATATATATATATATATATATATATATATATATATATATATATATTTAAAGGAGTAATCCGTTGTAAAACAACGGATTACTCCCTTAATTTGTATCAATTAAATCTGTATCCTTTACTAAGCTTTATATTAGACTTAGCTATCTTAAAATCACCTTAAGTTTAACATAATAAAAATGTAGGAACTATTCCTAATACCTATAAGAATAGCAGCAAGTTGAGCGGTTGTACCATCTCCAACTATTGTGTGTCCATTTAAAATAATAGTGTTCTGGTCTTTTAAAAGTTGTGGTGTAGTCTTTTTAAGCTGGCGATGAAAGTTAGCATTTGATTGAGAATCAATCATTAAAAAGACAACATCCAATCCTAAACCATTTACATCTAAAAAAACAATTAAAAAAAACTATATTTTGAATATAGTATATATCAGTACATCTTGCGTTTAAATTTTGATTAGGAATACAAAGTAGGAGTTTTATATTTACCTGGAGTCTTAGTGACTCTAGACTTTTCATAATTAGAGATAAAGAAAGAAGACCAGCGTAAAATATTGCTTAATTAAAAGCTAGTTTTTAAATGTTGCTTTAAACAGTTTTGCAAACACTGCACAATGCCTAACAAAAGTAAAATCAAAAAATAAATTTCTTAATTTCTTTTAAACTTTTATTGCTGTTTTGATTATTTGTAGCTGCATCTAAAATCTTTGGATTTTTTAAATGTTGAATTTCGAGTCACTTTCACTTTCACTTTCGAGTCACGGAATTCACGCTGAAAAATATTAATTTGATTTAATTTTTTTTTTTTTTTGTAACTATTTAAAGCTATTTTATTTAAACTATATATGGAGATATATATTGTAAAGATAATTAAAAAATCGATTAAATGTGCAACGATACCAGTTTATTCAAAATGTTTGCAGATGTCGATAACTTAAATCTAGACACAAAATTTGCTGGTGATTGCCGGCTGAAATCCAACATGCAATAAATAGTTGAACATTAGATTAATCAAATAGGATGTAAATTTATTCTGCCTTGTGTAACTCATTCATTCATCGTTGAAAAACTTGTTTAGTTTTCTTAAAATGTTTTAAAATAAAAGACGAGAAATATCTGATAAATTAGCCACACCCTGTCTAATTCACGATCATCCTCATCTGAAGGAACAAAGACCTTATGAGTACATTTAGTAGCGTTTTAAATCTTTATATTTTGTCCGAGCTAAATTTTTGCGTTTTAACAGGTGGATTTTAGATTTTTTGTATTCGAAATGGTTAACTTCCAAGAATGGTATAACTCAAAACTTTTATATCTTCATAATGAAATCAAATAAGAATGGTTTACAAAAAATAACGGCAGTCGGAACTTGAGGGAAAAATACCCTTCGCTTTACTATTAAATAACTACGTTATTTTATAGTAAACCGAACAACGTAGTTATTTTATTGTAAACCAAAGCTTTTTTTATATACTTAAAATTTCAACAACAAAACTCGTGATGTTTAGAAACGGTGACATGTAATATTTACAACTCCTTTAATTTGAGGGTGTTCATTTAATTACATAATCATTACTCTAAAACACACAAAAAAATTGGATGGAACTTAGATTTTTTTAATGAATATTGATTTACTTTAGGATTTTTTTTTTCTAAAAAAATGATTTTTGTAAATGGGGTTTAAGAGGGCAAATATATAGGGTTATTTTTGTAAAAACGACGTAAAATTTTGCCGCCAAATATTTTCTTAAACTTAAAAGATTAACAAGTATTTTATTTTATCGTACTAATTTGAGTATTACAGATTTACCTCATGTGTAAATAAAAATTAAAAATTGAAATCAGATTACGGTAATAAACTATTTTACAAAAAAAAAAAGATGCTGGTGATATTACTTATTCATTACCACCTCTCTCTACGTTTTCTCTACGAGAGTTTTTAACGAGTGTAGTGCACGCGATTGTGCAATTCAAGTTTTTAACGAGTTTTTAGTGACGATAGGGCAATTCAAGTTTTTAACGAGTCTAGTGCACGCGATTGTCTTATTTTGCCAAATTCGAAAGCTCAAACTTAATGAAAAGCATCCTTTAGAACCAAAGACATAGAATATAAATCTTCCAAGCCTGGAACTTTTTTAAATCCCTCCTTTCCATCAACAAAAAAAAATGTACGCAATTGTAGCTCAAGGTTACAATCATTTCTGTACAATCGCAACAACGCCAAAACTTACATGGTCAAGGAAGATCGAGTTGGAGGTGAGCAGATTAAAACTGCTGTGATAAAGGCAGAAGATTTTCTTCTAGATAAATTTTTTTGCTTTGTCAAGAAAAAAAGGAAGAAGATTATTTCCAGTAATACCAGGTAGTTATACATTTTTTATAACTTTAAAATATTTAAAATTCATCAATATTAAGCAGTGAAAATTGTTGTTTACATTTATACCTATTATTACCTTTATTTTATTATAAATTAACAAATGAAAACTATTTCAACCAGCAGCTTACTTTATATCTTATTTTACAAGCCTCACAATGTGCAACAAAATCAAAAAGCAATATGCTTACAGCACAAATGTTGTTAAACGTGCTGATAAAAATTGAATAACCTTAGGCGGGAATGAGAAAATTTGCTTTAACTCTCAGCAAAGCAACAAGAACTCGACTAGATGAAAATGATTTCAACCAAAAATTTAATGCTACCGGAAAAACATTGCAAGATTTCTTTCAGCAACATTGCAACTACAAAAGGAGAAACTGAAAAACAATAACATTTAAAAATTGCGAAATATTTTGCAAATGTAAGCCATTTACCGTTCATCAATATGAACACCTCAATGCTCATATGTTATTTCGCCAATGAAACTCCATCTTCTTCTTGGAATTGTTGATAATTATCTTTTCAAAAATCTTTTAGACTTGTAATCTGAAACCGAAGAATGGCCAGCTGAGTTGTGCATTCAGCTCCAGCCGTACCATGGTGGACACTTCAAAGGCAATGATTGCCATATGCTTTGAAAAAAAAATTGACATTCTTCAAAGAATGACTTAAAAAGCTTGTATATTCCAATATTAAAATCCGGTATACGTACATGTAAAATTTTTATTGTTCTATCAGTTTGTTTTGAACACTTAATATATAAAAGTTTTGTTATATAAAAGTTTCTATATAAAAGTTTTGTGTATTTTTGTATTTGTGTTTTGTGTATTTGTTATTTAGTTATTGCAATGCTACGTGGAAGGGTCTTAAATGAGGAAGAAAAAGCTAAAATTTGCTTGGGGATTGTCCATAAATTATGCAACGCTAAATTTCACTAAAAACCAAAGTAAATAAGATCAAAAGTTTTCCCTCACATAGTCTTAAGTTAAATTAAAAATCAAAATAGCGCATTAAGTTTAATGAAAATTTAGTTTCAGAAACAATTTAATTTTATTTATTTTATTTTAATTGTTTCAGAAACAATTTAATTTTATAAATAACTTCCGCGTAAAATCAAATTTTATAAATAACTTCCGCGTAAAATCTGCAATGACTACATATGACTATATATATGTGGAACTTCGGAAATTTTGCTGAGTGTATAAAGTGCTGCCTTTAACCCATGCGTTTAAAAGATATATGCAAGTCCGTTGCTCCACTAGGCTACTAAGGACTTACTTGGGGTTGTAGTTGAAAAAATATATATAGTTAACTATTTAGTTTTAAGGAAATTATCGAGATGCAATTGACAAGCAATATTCGTTTACAACGTCATTAGATAATGACACATTATTCTAAATAAATTTAGTAATTCTTTCCGGAGTCTTAACAGATGTTTCTATTCTACTTAAATACATTTTTCTGATTTCAATACTTCTGCTTACAATACTTCTGATTGCAATGCTTTTGATTGCAATACTTCTGGTTGCAATATTTTACACGGATAATATTGAGAATTGGCAATTGATACCTACTTATAATAAGAAAAAATATCACCGCCTTGAATTCGGGCAAGGAATTTTAATCGATTATATTAGTCTTTGGACAACTTTTCATCTTCAACTTCAGAATCTTCTTCGATATAGTTGCCACAACGGCACCCGTAAAAACAAAAGCAAACATTGTTTCGATAACAAGATAATGTTTAATATTTTATTTTATTAATCAATTTTTTTTTTTTTTGATTTCGAACAAGTAAAAGAGCCTACGCTCTCCTACTTATGTGATTTATCGACGATCTCTTATTAAGATATAGGTTTGTTTAATCGATAAGGTTTATGTTTGCCAAGGACCATATGACATGAGACACAGAATGGAAAAATGCTATTTTTCCAATGAAAAAAAGTTTAACTTAGATGTGCCTGATAGTTTTAAGTATTATTGGCATGATAATGCGGCGATTCACAAAAAAAAAATATACATATTTTGAATTGACCCAACTTGAATTCACCCGACTTGAACCTTTTTGAAATTTTATGGGAAATATTGACACAAATTACACAGGTCTGCAACATTTTTTTTTCTAAAATTAAAGAAGTAATTCTTATGTATTTTTGGTCGCTGAATTCGAAAAAGTTATCAAAAAAATTCCATCACGTAAGGTTTTTCTAAAAAATTCAAAATGCTGTGGGATTGCCTATTTTAGGGCGCAAAACGGGGTTTATTGCCAAAATATTTATTATTTTATTTATTAACTTATTATAAGATAATTTTATGTTTCGTAGCCTGAAACAAAACATTTAGTAACTCATGAAGATAATATTAGTCAGCGTTGAATCATATATATATCGAGATTTTCCATAGTAAGTATGGAAAATCCCTATATATACAAATGCCGAAATTCTCAAGGAATTTCCCTTTCATTTATTTATTTTGGTTGCATCTTTCGTAACATCCACTTCAAAAATGACTTCTAGAGGTTGTGTAAATTTTTCTGAGAGTTTTTGTTATATTTGTGGTGAATTTGTAAAAAAAAAACAAAACAAAGAAATATTACTGAATTTGTTAAAAAAGTGTACTTTGCGTATTTTGGTGTGAAGATAAGCGATCAGGACAAATCTTGGGCCCCGCGTGGAGTTTGTTCAGGGTGTGTTGAAGGACTTAGAATGTGGTCAATAGGTAAAGTTAAATCTTTTTGTTTTGGTGTTTCCATGATCTGGAGAGAGCTTCGAAACCACAGCGATGACTGCTACTTTTGTTCGTGCAATGTGCAGGGGTATAGTACCAAAAGAAAAAAACAAACTTTTTATCCAAACATGGAATCGGCACTCCACTCAGTCCTTCACAGACCTGGCATACCTACACCACAAGCACCCCAAAGCCTAGACAATTTACCATCATTAGAAAGTGAATCAGAAGAAAGTTCTAGTGACGATTTTCAAGTAGGCGACTCCAGTAGTCCTCAAGAATTTTCTCAAGCTGAATTAAATGACCTAACCCGAGATTTAGGTCTCTCAAAACAATCTGCTGAGTTACTAGGATCCAGACTGCAAGAGAAAAATTTATTGACACCTGGTACTTCTTTTGCTTAGTATAGAAATAGAGAAAAATATTTTGAGCCTTATTTTTCTCAATATGGTGAGCTGGTCTATAGTTTTAATAGTTCATCACATTTTCGAAGTTATATTAAAAAACTTCTATCCAACAAGCATGCAACGTTATCTCAAAGGTTTGTTCGGAAAATCTAATAAAAAGTATGAAATACGAATCTTCCAATTAATTTGTATAAAAGGTGGTAGTACACATTATTAAAAACTAGTTTTTAATAATTAATTAAAAAAAAGTATTTAAAAAACTATTATTTAAAACAATAAAGCAAAACTTCTATAGTTGCTTTTGATGCAACAATAGAAATTTTGCATTTTTACAAAATTTATCTTTTAAGTTTTTACGAAATAAAGTAATATTTATTTTCTATTAAAATACTATATGCTAATTTATTTATTTCTAATAATTCCTGTAATAAACAAAAAAAAAAAACAAATACTTCGAGAATTCATTCATATTTACAAAAAGTGGAACTATAGAAATTTCCCTGAGCTCAGCGAAATTTCCAAATTAATATTCGGACAAACAAACAATTTGAAGTCACCAAAACAGTACGCTGTTAGATAAAAGCCGTTATTTTAATTACTTTTTTTAGATTTATTTTAGTTACTACGTATAAATATACGCCATTTGTACTCCTTTCTATTATCACCACATAATATTCAAAAAGTACAAAGAAACTTGAACTTCACTGCTCACATCTTAAATATCTTTTGGTATGCTCATATTATTAAGTGCTTATATTACCCTAATATAAACTACGTTTACGCTTTTTATAAAAGTTTTCTGTAAAAGTGATTTTTTTTTAAAGATATAATTTTAAAGACTTTAAAGATTTATTCACCTTTTCTTTTCTTTGCAGTTTTTCTGAATTCCTCTTGGGAGCGATAACTGATATGGGCGTGATATTCAAAATGGTAAACATCATTAACATAAAAATCAACTTTAATAAAATCATCTTCAAGTTTATGCTTGAAATAACCTAAAAACGCATAATTGAATTAAAAAAATTGTCTGAACAATAAAAAATAAATGCATATTATATAACGCATTAAAACTTTTTCATTAATCATTATATATGTTTATAAGGCATTGAAAATATGTTGCCACTGTGATGTTTCTTCTAGTTTGCCTAATACTTCTAGTAATGCCCAGGAAAAATATGCCAGATAATTTCCTCAGTCTGTGTTACTGCGTTTTATATAACTTTTTTCAAGGGTTAAACACTACGTTTAAAATGCGTTCAAAAAAAAACTGTTTAATTACCTTTCTCGTCAACACTCACATACGTAGGGTCTGATAATTTCACAGCAAAATCTTCGTTTATGTAATCTTTGCTCGGTTTGTGTCTATAAATATATCTTATGCTAACATTAGAGATAATATTATTATCTAATGGCATTAAAAAATACCACCCATCTTTTGTAACTTTACCATACCGTTTTACCGAACATTTTATATCAACTGGTTTTATAAACCTCTTCACATCTTGACTAAAGGCATTTAGAGATGGTAAGACACATGCGCTTAGGTTTTTTTTTTGTATTCTTTGCAATTCCGTGAAGTCATCTATCATATATTCTTTCGAAAAATATATCCAATTATTATATTCAATCTTTTTATGAAGATTAATCCAGATGATACTGATTAAAACAATGAAACTTAATAACCATAGTAAACATAGCAATCTGAGCCATCGCATCTTTTTTCCTTTTTTTTTTCTCTCTTCTTTTAAGGGCTGTAGTTTTATCGTTTTGTCATATCATGTCATATCTTCTGTTGTTGTTTTTTTAAACTATTCTAAAGAATAAACGAATTGTTTAAAATCATTACAAACGTATTTTTATCATCAATTAATCATCATTTTTATCACCAATTAATGTGGAAACATAAATGAAGAAAATATTAAACATAGAGTAAACGAGAGTAGAATGGAATAGAGGATATAATTAAATATGACAATATTTGCTCTTTTGCTATTATTAATTATTGAATAATCATTTTGCAAATACTTTTTGAGCATGTTGTAGAGAATCTTTTTCTAAGTAAGGTGAAATAAAATTAAAAAAAATATTTTATTTCAATATTTTTGGTCACGTAATAACTTTCGTATTTTAAAAAATGAACATAACTTTCAATGGTTAGTGAACTTAAAATTACTCAAAGAAACAAATACGACAATAATACTCAAATAATACCTAAAATATGTAGTAAAATAAACAACAGTACATTCTCGTTGTAAATATTTAAGTTCATTTTAGTTTGCTAATTGAAAAACATGAAGAAAAATCTGATACCGTTTATTAAAGTAAAAAGAATAGCGAAAATTTAAAGGACGAGCTGTTAACCCAGTAAACACAGATTGGTTTAGAGTTGGTCAATATTTAGTCGAAATCGATCGAAAAATTAATAAAACGTTTAGTCACCTATTATTGACTAAAAATCAAAATAAAAAAATTTAAAATGTAAATTTTAAACTTTTTTATATATGTACGTTTACTAAACGTCGATCTAACCTTTAAAATATCGACTTACATTATTCAATACTGTAAACCTTTAATCAACCTTAATTAGACGTAAGCATTTATAGATTTAAAATCTACGTTTTAAATCTTTTAATATATACGTTTATTAAACGTTATTTAAATGTTTACAATATTGACTAATATAACAATGGTTCCGCGCAAAATCGATCTATCTCCAATCTCCGCGAAAAATACTTTTGGTCTATCTGCAATCTCCGCAAAAAACACTTTCGGTGTATCTGCTATCTCCGCGAGAAACATTTTTGGTCTATCTGCATTCTCCGGGCGAACAAATTTTAAATCTAATGATTTTTTGCGCTCTAAATTAATGCAGTTTATTTTCATTTCAAAAAACAAATCTGAAGCATTATATCAAACGATAAGAGATTTTTCATTTCAAAAAAACAAATCTGAAGCATTATATCAAACAATACATGCTCTGTTTATGTTATGTAAATTATCAACACGTTATAGACATTTGTATCAACAGTCTTTTAAAATAAAGTTTAACGTGCATCGTTTAAATTTGTGTAGCAGTACTTAGTTTAAATATACACTTTAAACATTTATGATATGTAACTGTTAGCTTATAGAAAATGCTTTTAGAAATTCATTTTACTACTATCAAGCAAGAACTGTCCGCAACTACTTTAATCTCAAAACAAATTTAAACCAAGTTTAACTTGAAGTTAGTATGCCTAAAGTTTATACATATGATGCAGATGTCTATGATAAACAAAGCATCAATTATCCAATGTGTAACTTATCATATAAGCAATTCGATGTTAAATTAGAACACTAATGGAATAGAAAAAACTGGATTAGCATACGTTGTACCATTTTCCAACGGTTACTCGAAGAAGCAAAAGTGTTGGAACATTGTTTGTTGTCTTGGAAGCTAGTGCTTTATTAATAGAATAAAACTAATACTATTAATATGTTAGTAGTCAAGACATCTTAAATATTAAATTTATGATGTTAAATATAAAGCTGACACTTTGGCTTATTATTCTTTAAAATTCAATTAAACATTGTTACGAGCAAACAAAAATACACTCATAATCGTATCAATAAATGATGTTGATATATATATATATATATATATATATATATATATATATATATATATATATATATATATATATATATATATATATATTTATATATATATATATATATATATATATATATATATATATATATATATATATATATATATATATATATATATATATATATATATATATATATAGTTATTTTACAACTATAATTTTAATTACCTAAATGTACATTTAAATTATTTTTAATTAAATTGCATGTACTTTAAAATTTTAAACAATCTGGTATTCCGATTCATGTGCAAGTAAAGCATTTGCTTATTTAAAAAAAGTTTTATTTTTATTATTTTTGACTGCTCTATGTATATATGTATATATATATATATAGTATCCCAGTGGGCACCGTACCAAAAAAAGACGTCCAAAACGTTCAAAAGACGTCAAATCGTGTATAACACGTTTAAAAAACGTCTTTTTTACGTCCGTGTCCACTTGGATATGTAATATATATACAGCCCTTGAAATTAGGGTCAGCATTCGGCATTGCCAACCTAACTGTTGACCAAATGCCGACCTTAAACAGTTTATGGTCAGCAATTTTTTGCCGACTTTAGTTTTTCTAATTCCGAGGGTTATATATATATATATATATATATATATATATATATATATATATATATATATATATATATATATATATATATATATATATATATATATATATATATATATATATATATATATATATATATATATATATAAATGTATATATATATATATAAATGTATATATATATATATAAATGTATATATATATATATATATATATATATATATATTATATATTTATATATATATATATATATATATATATATATATATATATATATATATATTATATATATATATATATATATATATATATATATATTCACATTTTTATTTTTATTTTCAAGAAATAAAAATTGAAAGTAACTCCAAACAATATTAGAAAAATAGTCAAAACATAATAAATTAAATACTAAAAAATAATAAAAAGAATTCTGTAATTTTGCTGTTATTTAATTTAACAGCAACACAACAGAAAAGTTGATTATGTTGTACAGCAACATAGTAAAAATGTTGCTGCTTTTATTACTAGCAACATATAATATATAATAACATTAATATTATTTAAGTTTAACAGCGACGTAATTTATTTTCTATCAATCGTGTAAAAATAATGGTTGTAAGTAAGAAAATTTACAGATCAATTTAATATGTTAATGATGTAAAGTTTATACACCCAAAGAATGCAGATAGTTGCTGGCGCTAATTGCAGATAGACCAAAAATGTTTTTCGCGGAGATTGCAGATAGACCGATTTAGTGCGGAGTCATCGATAAGTCGTTATTCTAAACGTTTGGTCGGCGTTTAATAAACGTATACTATATTATAATATAGTAATACAGCCATTGATCAGAAGACTCACATAACAGCTTAAATCAAGCGGTTTAAATAGACATAGTTAATACGAAATTTAACATAATTAAAAAAATTACTGCTAAAAAGATATTTTTCATCGAGTAAATAATTAAATTAGAATTCGAGTAGAGCGGGGCATATAGGGACATTTAAGAATCAAATGCTTGTTGCGGATAAAATAATCATAGTTAACACTGTTTTTTTTTTTTAATTTCCTTAAATTCATTGATATAAGAAAATAAAAGAAATAAAATAAAAATTTCGAAAAATAAATTATGACAACCAAAGTAACAAAACTCTAGACTAGCAAAACTTTTACATTTTTGCATTTAGATGGGGCAAAACGGGACAATTAAAAAGCAGCAGTTATTGTTTAATTGTAAAGCTTTAAAAATAGTGAAAAATAAAGACTCTATTGCCTAATCTATTGCCTAAATATGTTCAGACATTAAACTCTCAAAATAGTAACATATCCATAGAAACTACATGCCCATACATCCATACACAACAAAAAACAAACAACAGATAAAATAAAACTTCTTTTCTGTGTGTTTTATTATAAAATACCTCTGCTCTACTCTAACCTATATATTATTAAATTGGTAACTGCTACTAAATTAAATCACACAAAAAATATCCTGAAACTATTTGGCAATATTTTTGATGAGCCTGCTTATTAGCAATATGCCAATGTAGAGCAAACTTAAATATATCATATGTACCAGCATCTTTTCTGATTTTTCTAATCTTTTTTACTTACAGCTAAAACTAAATTTCATCCCGTTTTGGACAAATTTACCATCTTTGTTTACATTAATCACTTTTAATAATTAATAATTTCAATTAATTAATGCCAACCAATAAAAATAAAAATTTCTTTAAATTTATTCTAAAATTATTTTTTTTAAACAAAAAAATAATATTTTTGATTAAAAAAAGTCAATTAAGCTGTAAACAGTATCACGAATTTGTAATAATATACCCTATTTTATAAATAGCTTTTTGTCCCAATATGCCCCAAAAAAGTCAATTTACTGAAACTAATACTAATCAAAAAGTTTATTTTTAAATATTTTTTTAAAACCAGATTCTAAAATGGGATTAAAAATTCTGTTTTAAAAACAAACTTTTTAAAAATAAAGCAATTTTGCAAGAGCTTAAGATGAATCTTTTGTCAATTTATCTCTTAAAAAAATACGCAAATTTTGTTAATCACAAATTTACTAATGCATTTTGATTTCTTTAACGCATTTTGGTTTTTCTAAAGTTAAATAAAATTATAATTTTTAATATTTTTGAAAAAAATTATTTTTAGCTGAGATATAAGGCTTCAGGCATAACTGTCCCGTTATGCCCCGCTGTCCCGATATGCCCCGCTCTACGCTAAATGCGTTTTCAAAGTTCACTTCCTTACAACAACTGAAAGCAAAACGACTGAAATATAAATAATAAACGAGTTTCGGGTGCGCCATTTTAATGGCCGTTTTCCACAAGACGAAAAATTCGCTTCGCGCGAATTTTTTCGTCGTTAAGCATGCGCAAATTAAACATTTTTGGCGATTATACTGATTTTTTTTCGTTACTACGTTTCGCTGCAGCAAAATAAAAAAGTCGAACCGCCATAAGCGAAAACCAATCAAGTTTTGAATATTATATCACGTGGTGTCAACATTAAAAAAAAGCGAAAACATGTTTTTAAAGTAACAAAAAACAAAATTCTTAACCTAGCGTTCTTATTAATTTTACATGAACTT